GAATTGTGTAGTAATACCGTTTTATCTGAATTATAAGCTGAATTGCAAGCTGATTTGTGTAGTTATTATTACCTTAGTAGCATAATATTATAAGCTAAATTGCGTAATAATACTGTATTACCACATCTTGGAAGTCAATCAGACTTATATACCTAGTTGTATAATAGAAAAACCCCTAAACTATAAAGTGAATAAAAACATTCTTCCATTGTCTAAGAAAAAAAAATCATAAATTCTTCTGCATTTAAATATTTTAAATATTTTTAAAATTATTCAATATTATTAAAATTAGTTGAAAATTTCCAATTTTAAAAGCCAAATAAAATTCAAATTTATGATATACATATACAATTAGTTTGTAACTGTTGCTTTTCAAGCTTAACCAGGCATAATGATTAAATAATATAAAACAACCACCAACTATAGCACATTATAATTTTTTAAATTCATCCGTTATTGCAACAATTGGAGAATAAAACTGAAAAAAAAGCACAATATGGTCCCTATAGGCTTATAAGAAAACAAAAACAAAAAAATTCGCTCTAATAAATATTTCATATTACAAAAAATTATAATGATCAATATTTCACTCGACAACGTCTATATATACACTATGTATATAAAACATAAAAGAACTGCACAAATATACATACATATTCAATAAACTTATAAACAAAAAACAATCAATTTTTAAACTTACATACTAAATACGTGCATGCATTATGCACATAAACAATACAGTAAATAACCAAAAAATTATCATTAATAATATCTCCTTATATATGTGTGTATAGAAATGAAAATTGGCCATATCTATTCATGGGTACTCTACATTACAAATATACATTCATATGTGTGTACATAATATTTTCCTTCATAACATACATATAAAAAAAATAATATCATAATTTAAAATTCTAATAATTTTATAACTATTAAATTTAAATTTTTAAGTACATATACTCAACTTAAAATTGTGCACTAATAAAATATTTACCATATACTTCTATGTACATAATATTGCATTTATATGACTATAATTAGATAGTGCTATAATTTAAAATATATAATTTCATTTTTACAATTTTATGGATTATAATTTGTTTTAAAATTTTACTATACTTGTCCATTCGAAGAATATTTTCAAATTGAACATAATAATTTACGTAACGTTTTGAATAGAATTAACAAATTTTTATTGCATCTTTTAGCCTAACATAATATGTATGCAGGGTGTTTCACAAAATGACAAATAATATCAGGGATGAATCTCTGATCGATTTTCAGTAAAAAATTGTAAGGGTTGGGGAAGAAATCATCCCCGAAATTATTTGCCACTTTATGCGAAACATTCTGTTTATAACATATACGTACAAAAGCTCGTTCTCAAAATTTTTTTAATAGGTTTCACATAAAATTTTTAAACACCCACAAAAATTAAATGTAGGACTTCATTTAAAAAATTAAAAAAATAATAATAATTTAACAAAAAATACTTTCACATTGTACAAAATCATGATATCATGCTTAATAACATTCAATCATAACTATTTATAGTATGGTGTTTACCACTTTTCTAAAATTACATTTATTAATGTTTCATAATACGTTCATATCTGCATATGTACGTAAGCGTGTGTTATGTGTTATTAGCAAATAATAATCTACATGACAGTGAATGCAAATATTTAGTTAGAGATTTATTCAATTTTTTAACTTCAAAACCTTTCAATTTAATTAGCATGACTCCAAAATCTATTTTCGCAAACTTTTACAATATTTAAAAAAAAAATAATAGAATGTTTATAGAATTTTACTTGCTTTGAGAGCACTTAAAGCTCTAATTGGTGTATTGGGGCATTATTTTGTGATACCAGTTTGCAGAATTTTCAAAGAGAAAATATACCATGATTCATCTCGAAATTGTATTAATGTCTTACAAAAAAAAAAAACAATTTTCTTACACATATTCGGTATAACTATAGTAAAATTATGATATATTAATGAAAAATCAAAACAATTTACTTAAAATGCCATTTTATATTTGCATTTTGTTAAATTTTTAATAAATGTATAATAACTCAATTGATTTATATTATAAAACTTTTCATAACTTTAAAATTGTTTAAATATCGCTTTTATTTATTTAATTTTAATACGAAGAAATCACGCGAACCTGTTGAAAACATAAATTACCCACCTACATATACAGAATAGTGCAAAACATGTATACTAATGTACATACTAATGTTGTAAATATGTACATACATAATAGGTCAATAAAAAAATTTTCATTTTTTAGTATACCATCTTAATAGAATACATACATAAATCAAAAATTTTATAGTATATTGCTGTTGGTGTTTTATATAAAAAATACAGTGAAGTATTAAATTTTTTTAAAGTTTTTTAATAGAATTTTATTGCATTTAAAATGATTTCGTGATTATTAGAACTTGGTCTCTCCCTCTAGAAAAAAATATACAGGTACATAGTTACATAAACACATTATTATAGTCACGAAAAATTTATGAATTTAAGGTTGGTTGTGTGTGTATGTTTACGATTATGTAGATGCACCTACATCTGTAGTATAAATGAAATGGTAGTATAATGGCAATACGTATAAGTTTATATTTTATAATAATGTTAAAAATAAAAGTAAATAATATGTAAATACGAGTATGCATATAATTTTATATAATTTTGTGTCTAAATTGATTTTTATGATAACTTATAAAGTAAGACACAAAAGCATTTACGCTTACATTTTTGTATTTTTCAAAATTATAGTAACTAATTGACTATAATTTAAAAATATGTAAATTTTCTGAGATATTTTCCAACTGGCCAAACACACTAAGTATAAGTTCTATACCGTTATTAATTTTTGTATTAGACCATGTAACAGTTTAGGTCGATTTATAACATATTTATTCGACGTTTTTTCACCTAACTGTTATTATTTGAATTTATTAAACCTAACTAATTACTTATACAGATTATGTTATATTCATTAATCAATAAATGATTAGATTGATTATAAGCATACAACATTAATCTAAAGCCGTTTTGCTAACATCATTTCTTTTTTATTTTAAGTTTAGTCTTGAATAATTTCAAATACTTTCAAAGGGAAAATAACAGAAATTTTGTTAACGTTATTTGCTTAACATAATCCTATCATTTTTTAAATTCATAATATCATTTTGTCCCTCTTAGATTATTCAACAGCTTTATTTGAATATACATAAGATTTATTAAAAAAATCTCTACGCTTCTCAAGTGTAATAAGTCTTTTTGGTTTTACATTAAAATTAATTAATGAATTACTAAAAGTTATTAATATATGGTACATATTTATATTAACTTAATTTAATATGATTTGTGCGTATACATACATATGTACATATTAGAAAAAATAAATAAATAAATGAAAAAAATGAAAAATATTTATACTAAACATACTTACATAGGGGATTTTCGATTATTCAGATCTGCACTTAAATTTCTAAATTAAATCTTAAAAATCTTTTTTTTTTTTGCATCATTGAAGATCCGCAGGAACTAATTAATTTACTTTTCCAGATTTTTAATATCTTACATTTTTTATGTGATTATTTGTAAATTTAAGTTTTCATAATTTTCGAGCGTGCCTCTTTTTTAGTAAAGATTTTATATCGAACATGCCACATTTTAATTTGAATTTACATTTTGGATTTGAAAAATGCTCGTAAATTTGAAGATAAACATCTACCAGCAAAAAAAATAACCTTTATTTATAAGTATTTGGGGCAATAATGATTTTAGCTAACTAATAAAAATAGTATTAAAACTTTTTCAATAAATATACATATTTAGATATTTTCGTTCTCTTCACTCTACAAGATAGAAATAGCTCGGATGCTATTGTTACTGCTATTTTCATATTAATTCTAACCTATAGCTTTAATAAGTTGAACACAAATTCATAATGTATTTCTGCATAAAATATAAACTTACAAAAAAAAAATGTACACGATTCAACTCACAACAAAATTATCGATAACACTTCTCTTTTATTTTCCAAGCTACATTTTACAGCTTTTTAATATGTATTTTGATTCCTAAACGTTTCCTTCGTCCGAATTTCGACCATATTCTGAAACTTACTAGTGTACTCTTGATCTCATAACATGGTGGGATATTTTACTTTCAGGATTTGTTTTTTTGGAGAAAAAACCTTTCATTGTCAGTTTTATACAATGGGTATGTATTTTAACTTTTAATTATGATTATAATATGTTAAAAGCAGCTTTCAGTTTTTGTTGAGTTTATCAGGGATATTAACCCTTGTAAATTTTCATTTCGTTTTTTTATCTGGTATAGTTTAATTTTATCTTCCAAAACTGATACCTTTATATATTTTTTTCAGTATGTTATTCCAAGACTCTTTGTCTTTTACAATTTTAGAATTCTTTCCACTTAAATTTAAAAGTAGGTAGACATAATATGAAAAATATTTTCATATAGGAGTATGCGAATTTACTAAATGAATAAAAAACTCAAAACAACGTACATACATATTATATTTATTTAAGATTTCTGCTGAATAACACATGCAGCGGAAAAATAAATTATCAAACTGCATTATCAATCAAATTTTTATACATGTACGTTCCTAAATTTAATTCAAATATTGAAAATCTTCCCTTTCACACTCTGTAGTTTAATTTTCTTAAAAAATTTAATTTTTTTCATATGATTCAGCGTTTAACTGGAAACGTTGATTGTTTAACTGGAAATTATTTTGCCAATTTGTTAATTTGACAAAAATAAAATATACTTTTGAAACAGTATAATTGATTTAGAATTTAATTTTTACAGCATAAATTAATTTTCTACAAAGAATGTAACTTAAAAGGTTACAAGGTCTTCATGAATATTTTTAATATTCTTGCTTTTTAAATTTTTGACTATTCTTGAAAAACTGTTTTCTTTTTTAAAAAAATGTAAATAATACAATCACTTATGTTTTTATTTCTCCAAATAAATAATGGTTTTTTAGCAATTATTGTAATAAAGTATTAGAAGTAAAACAATTAATTTTAATTTTTTTTTTGTTTTTTTTTTCAATCTGTAAATTTTAACTTATTTAATATGGTTTGAATTAATAAATTTAATTGTTTTTTTTATTGCAATTTATTAAATATTAGTTGTTATCATTTCTTTCCTCGTTTAAAAATTTTTGCAATCTTCGTCGACGTATTTCATTCAGTTCAGAATTTTCATTTTCATTTGATATACTCGTACCGTTTGTTTTACCTTTCGTTTCATTATTTACACTATTAAGTAAATTTACATCCTTACTTAAATCCTTACTTAAATCAATCTTTTCTTCACTTCCAATATCCTCAATCTTTACATCGCTAGATGATTTTGATGTTCCTGGTAAGTCTTTTTCATTAATTTGCGGAAAGTTAAAACCACTTGAATTCGCAGTTACAGTTTCACAATTCTCTTGCGTTGGCCCAGACGCATTAGAACTTGAACTGGCTTGACTTGTTGAGCTTGGAGCAGCTGTAGTGGGGGGAATAGGAATGGGTGCTAAATGAGCAGTCACGGCTGAATATTGGTTCATTAAAGCAACGGATGCATCCAATAACAATTGGATATTACGCAAAAGCTAAAATGATAATTCTTAATAAATATATTTTGGATACATTCAATTTAAATATTCTACTTTAATTCTTTCCTCCACATGTTTTCTTTCATTACCCTCTATAGCTCTTAATTCTTCATCAGTTAATGTATCCAAACCTGGTGGCATTGGTGGTGGAGGCATTGCAAAAGGCGCAATAAATGGAAAAGGCGGCAAAACAAATGGCGGAACAGTGCTGCCAGTTGCGCCAGTTGTTGTTGTAGTAGTTGCAGTATTGTTTGCTGAAATATTATTTGCGGAAGATGTTGGAGCAGCCCCAGCTGCAAAATTGTTAATGTTACCCAAATTTTGTGCAAAAATATGAGCAAAAGGATTCTGGTCTAAAATAATTTTTTATAAATAAAGTATATAAAAATTTAAACATGTTTACCTACTTTGCAAATTATTATTAAACCCAGGAACTTGATTTTGATTAGCTGCATTACCAATACCCGCCGCTTGAGCCTGTGGAGCAACATTTGCATTTCCGTCCTGTCTTGGCAATTGTGATGAATTTGTGTGATGCGTTCTTAAAATGTTGAGACGACAAGTTGGGCAAGTTTGCTGACGCTGAAACCAAGATCGCAAACAAGATGTATGAAATATGTGGCCACATGGTAGCTTCTTTGAATTATTAATCATATCCTCTCTGAGGAATAAATATATTTTTATAATACAAGTCCTTTATTTCTGGTTACGATAAATATACCTGCATATAATGCAAATGTTGTCTGATTGTTCCAATTCTTCAGGTGTAGCATCTGGATACAACGTATTCATATTACGAATAGCTCTTCTTGACATTATCACATCATTTAACGCTTTTTTGAAATTTCTAAAAACATAATGTGATAAAAAATTATCTAAACAAACTATGAAAATCTTACCTCATGGTATAAAACATTGGTCGGAATACAAACATTGGCAACGCATAAATTTTGGCCATAATTACAACAAAAAGTACATACAAAATAACTTTTATTAAACCAATAATTAATTCGGTGTAAAGTAAAAAAACAGCTTTATTCTCCCACGGGGCATCAGCACGCATTTCTGCTGCGTGCAAAACATACTTAATAGTTGTATTTGCGACCATTATTATTAAAATCGCATATTCGAAACCAAAAACCAACTGTACTGTTGGTCCTTTAGTTATTGTTGAGGTGTAAGCGTGCAAAATCATTAAATAATCTAAAAATCCTAAAATAGATAGCAAACTAGTAACTCTGATATGAAATAGCCAGCCGATCATAGGACTTCGTTCCATCTGTAATAAGGAGTACATGAATTTTAAAAATTTAGCACTTTTACCTTAAAATATAGTTTATGCACAAATTCAAAATTTTTCACTTTGAATTATTAATTAGGTCAAAACGTATAAGCCCACGCATACGTGTCCTTTTTAATTTAAAATAGTTACAGAAAAAAAAAAATGGAAACTTACATAGTCCACGCGCTCCTCAGCCAACCAATGGAATGATTTTAAAAATAATAACACTGTAAATAGTGCAACAAACCGTGGATTGAAATCATCCCGAAATACAGTAAATGCTAAACATGTTTCGGTTAAAGCATACCAAAATCTCTCCATATAATGCTCAAATTCAGCTGCTCTTAATGTTCCTAAAAAAATCTAACACAAAAACATGGAATGAATGATCAGTTTTTCTTCATTTTGGCTACAGTAAGGGTTTTCTTACTTTTCTTAAAAGCTTGCCTAGCATCAAAACAATAACAAAAAATTGAATGTATATTACCTAAAATCACAATGAAAATATTTAAATCATGCATTTTTTAAATATGTGTTTATATAATTGAAAGAAGTTATCTTTCATAAGTTCATTAACAAGCCTAATATTTTGTAATTCTGAAATAATTTTATATGTAAATACTCACAGCCATCGATGGATTCGATTTTGTAATATAAACCACAGAAGGATAAAATTGTTTTTTATGGTAATATGCGTTTCCTATAACTATGCCCGTAAGGACAAAGCTAAAATTGAAATTAAAATTTTTTTTAACTTTTTTAATAAAATTTTATGATATTTCAATTTATTACCTTAAAGCTGATAAGCCTAAAGATCTCATTTTAATAATATAGCCAGATATCTGGCTTATTGATTCAAAAAATATATTAATTTTTATAGAAAAAGTTTATTTACTCGATAAAAAAGCATTGAAAACTATTAAATGTTAACTAAAAACCACTTAATTTGTTATAAAAAGAAATACTTATTTGGAAAAATGACCAAACTATTCCCGTTGAAAATATGAAAATTACACGTATATTTCAAGTGTCTGATTTTGGCATTTTGTATTTTTATTCTTATGGTATGACGTTTATTTATGTACATATTATAATGTTGGAAATGCCAAATGATTTGGAAATTCTTTAAAAATATCTTTGCAAAAAGATTTTTTAAACAAATGACACTTCTGTACTATACTCTTTTCGTCGTTTTTTTCTTATATATGTCATGTTTTCTACCTACGTACACATTTGCATTTCGAGTTTTTTGTTGAGGAAATTGTCTAAAAGTTGGAAGTATTTTTACAAAATTAAAACCTAAAATTTTATAACATAAATGAAAAGAACATTGAATTCAGACATTGACATTGAAAAGAATTCAAACATTGAAAAGAATTCAAACATTGAATTGGAATTTCTATATTATTTCTTTAAATATATTTTTCAGTTTTGCGTACACATGTTTGAACAGCTCTTGTTATGCAGTAAAACTGAATTTATTGGTTCTTTCAATTTGCGACGAACTATTGTATTATATATGAAATTTAAGTTTTATTTAATTTTTTGCAGCCTTTTTTCTCTCTCAAAAACTTGATCAAATTAAATTTTAAGTTAAAAACAGAACAAGAACGCTTTTCTACAACGAAATATCAGAATTCGTATAAAATACACACATTTAAAGGGGAATGCCCAAAAACAGGCCAAATTACAGTCGCGAGTTTAAGCGTCTATTGTAAAATAGCCCTAGTTGCTATTTTTCCGCTGACGTTTTTTGATATTTTATGTTGGCATGTGTGTGCGGTTTTATATGCAAAATACTGATACAAGATTTTGCCGGTCTGCTGTTTTCCTGGGCTTACAACAGAAATCGCCCGTCGTTGTCGTTCACCGCTTTGGTTTAGACTTATATGGAATATTATGTGCATATGATGAGTTTTTTGCTCCAATAAAAATGCGCTTTTGTAAAGGTGCTAGAGGAAAACAATATGCAGAACTGCAAAAAGTTTGTAAAATTTTGGTTCATGTTCATTTCAAATTATTACTCATTGATTTGATTACTGCTGGTATATGGATTCAATATTATATATCTTGCAAGTCAACGACTTACGAGTATTACCCAGCGTTTACACGTACAAGTTACTTGCAAGAAAGTTGCAATACATACAAAAATTTTACTAACACATTGAAATATTTCTACTTGCTTGTTTACTTGCAGTTCAACTTGCAAGAAAATTTTGCTGCCAGTAATTTGAGCAAGTAATTTGACATATTGAGAAATTCACAAAAAAAAATTTGTTGTTTTGATTTTTTTTTTTTTTTAATTTAAAATTTTTGAATTTTGTTTTGAAAAAATTAAACTTAGCAAACTTATGGTTTCTAAAATTTATAAACAATTATATATATTGCTAGTTGTTTTCTTCTCAAAGACATTTTCAAAAATTTAACTTGCTAAACGCCTACGTCATAATAGCAAGTAATTTGACATTTCGAAAAACTAATTGACAATTAATATTATACAAACTTGCTTGCAAGTAACTTGTATGTGTAAATGCTGGGTTACCTAATTAAATTTATAATTTTCTTTCTTTCAGTAAATTAAATGTTTATGTGCAAAATATTTTAGCTCAGCAAATTTAGATGGCTTTACAGCTAGTAGAGCCTAAATACCGAGAAGTTTGCCTCTGGCGCCCTCAAACATTCTAGGATGTAAATATTAAATTATTAACCAGATTATTTTTTTGCGGTTAAAAATTTAGCTGTGTACACATTTCACCTGGCGGCATATGAATAAAGTTACTGCGACACTAGAGGAAATACACGATACTTGCGAATAGAAAGGCTTAAAATATTCGTTGTTTTTGATAAAAGCACAAACACTTTAAAAAAAAAAAATAAAATACCGGGAAGTACCCTTTGAAAATGAATTTTTTGTTTCAACTCTGTCTATATGATGTATCTAAAAAATGTCGAAAGTTGAAGGAATATTGCTCAAGAAAAAAATTATATTTTCTATCTTGAAGCTTATTCTATTCCTCAAAAGGTGGCACTGACCACGATAAAATTATATATTTTCCAGTAATCAAATAATGAATACCGCGACATGACCTTTTTGTGTTGAGTTTTGACATGATTATCTATATTACCATAAATCACACAAAATTTAAAAAAAAAGTATGATAAACTGGGAAATAAAAGAATATAAAAGTAAATATCACCCAAATAAAAGCACAGTGCATCTGGTAAATTACAACCCGACACAAGTTAACACAATAGATTCATTCTTTCTTCTGCTACTGCCGTCAGCCTTATAAATTTCAAAAGGTTTTTATATTGTTGTACCTTAAATTTTAACAAGTTAATACAAAAAATTTTTTGAGAGATTAATTGATTTTGTAGGTGCCACAATCATACAATACAACTACCTTTTTTATTTTCGTTCCTTCCTTTACTCCCTAGCGCCCCTTAAAAAAAAATAGTTCGTTAGGTAATTGCAAAAAAATTGTCTTCTGTGTAGCCCTGTAAACTACACAGAATGGTAATTTGCTGGTAATATATAATTATAAAATGTTTACTAATATAATGAGCTGTTATAGCAATTCTGAAATGAAATAAAATTTTTGCAGAAAGTGGAACTAAAGAAAGTTAATGGTGAATCAGTATAGTGTATATTGAAAAAGAAAAACAACATGTTAGTCTCTCTTTATTTTGCCGAGAAAAAAATAATTTTATTGTCAAGAATTTTTATTTATTCTTTAAATATACAAGAATTTGAATTATATTATATTTTTTTTTCATATGTTATTTTATATATAAGTATACATAATATGTTATATTATATTATATTGATATAATATTTTGATTACATTATATGTAAATTTCTTTGTGATTACAAGTTTAAAGTTGTCGTCTAGACATACATATTTTATTCAGTAATCAAATGTGAATTGCTGAATAAAAAAAGTCAGAAGACATTAATTTCGCTTATGATCACAGTGTCCATCTACCTTTATATATTTTATATTCATATCGTAAATATTATTATATAATAATATAAATTGTATAATATGTAATTGTATTTTAATATAGGTATACAATTATAGGAATTACATATATATAAATGTGTCTTTTTTTTTGAAATTATTTATATAATGTGAAATTTTCAACTTTTACTACATTATTTCTTTTATTTCTCATATTATTAATTAACATATTCAATTCTTCTACATTTTGCAGAATTTTTTATACTATTTTTTACTTTTAATATAAATTAATATTTGTATAATGTTATATACATATATACATGCATAAAAGTATAAATGTATACAATATATTAATATAAATATATATAATAAATTATGTGTAGTTCTTTATTCTTTTTTGGTTATTAATTTAAAAACCACTTTTTTATTTTTTTTTTTTTTATTTTCATTGGAGTTTTCACTGTTATTTTCCGTTTTTTAGTGTATTTTTTTCTTGTTATGATATTGTTCTTTTTTTTTTATTTAAATCAAATATCTTCTTAAATTTAATGTCTAAATATGATAGTTTTCTATATGAATATGTGTTGTGTTTTTGTATATCAATAAATATATCAGTGAGATTGTTCTTTACATTGTTTCTAGTTATTGTAATTCTTTCTAATTTTTTTTTAATTTCTTTTTTTTTATTAAACGTTTATTATAAATATTTTGAATTCTTTATGTATAATAATTTATGTTTATTTTTATGTATAAGTATAGTATTATTGTCATTTCATATAGTTGTTTAAAAAATAAAAAATTAAAATATTCGTATAAAAGAAAAATCTTATAAATGTATAATTTTATATATACTTATATGTATAATAAAATCTTTTGAATATATTTAATATAGGTACATACATAATAATATAAATATTTCTTTTTTAATTTTTTTGTTTAGTAATAATGCAAAACATGATTTTCTTTTTTATTTTAATAAAGTAGTTCATAATTGTTTTTTCAAAACTGTTATAATATTATAACTGTTATAATGTGAATGTTATAACTGTTATAAAATCATTCATAGTTCAATAGAATGAATATATTTCAATTGGAATTGATTAAAATTAATTATAATCTAATAAAAGTAAGAAGTTATAAAAAATAAATCAAATTCATAGCTCTAGCAAACTCATCAAGTAAACTAAGATGATATATACCGTAAAATATAAGAAATTATTGTCAAAAATAACTTGTATTTGATTCGTGTCTTATAAATTTTTTACGGTACATATCGATTTAGTTAATATTATTTTATGTACATACTTCTGATAATATCCTAATACTTCTTTCAATCACTCTGCTGAAAACGAATAATAATATTTTCTCTGAGAATTAATATCGTTTTCATTCCAATTTGTATACGAAACAACGTAAAATATTACAAACGCAAACCAATATAATTCAGGTTTATGTATATAATAATTTTTCCATTGTTTTTACGATATAAGTATGTCATTTTATTTAAATTAATTTTTCATATAATGCAGTGCTGCCAATATATATAAAGTAATAAAAACCAGTTATTTTCGTTCATATATATTAAATTTTTGTATTTAAAAACGAACTTAAGTTTTTGAAATTTTTATCTTTTTTGTTAAATATAACTATGTATGTATGTATGTATTTATTAAGAAAACACGAAATATGCGAATAATTCTATTTCATATTTTCTTAATTAAATTGGGCTCATAATATTTTTTTCGTGTTCGTTTTTTTTTTTTTTTTGGGTTTTTAATTAATATGAAAACAAAATAAATTGTAAGTTAATACGAAACTTAAAATTGATATTTATGTATTTATACGAGTATATACAATATATATTGCAGTATATATCCATACATCTTATCTATCGATATATTATATATGTATATATATATAATATATAATATTATATATATATAACATATTTATATATTATATATATAACGTATATTATATATATATATATATATATATATATATATATATTTAAAGGAAATACATATGTATTATTTACTTTTCTTT